AGATATTCGGGCTGCAACTCCGCTTCTGCTTCCAGCCATATTTGCTGCGCCATCATATGTTTGCCACCGACGTCGTTTATCGTCAAATTACATCGCAACAAAATATCCTTCAGCGAAGTGGTGATTGTTTCAGCATCGGTTTTCTTTAGCTCGTACATACCGAGGAAATCTTCGTGGACGGATAAGTTGGTTGTAGATATCCAACGCAAAACACATGTTAATTGTTCCTTGTTGCTTATGTCTCTAGACTCGTCTGCAATAAGGCTAAATAACTGTGATTCTTTACGTAGGTCTGCGACTATAGACCTCAGGACTGCATTGCCCATCATGTTAATCAACTCGTTTATAATGTCATGACTGAGATATCTTCCGTTGTCAATCCACTCCAATAGTTCAGGAACATCCTTTGCTCTTAATTTTAGCAGCTGGTGTAAGTTGCTCTCAATTTCAGTTTTCCCTTGCAAGCTCTGGGCCTGGCGTGCCAAATACCTAATGCTACTAAGTTGTTTTAACAACATTTGTCTTCGAGTTTCCTGGGGTTTTTTTAATTCACCGACTAATTTCGCTCCGATATCGCTTCTCGAATCATCAAATAATAAAACTTTCTCAGTGGCCTCCGCATGAAATTTAGACTGAGAGTGTTTTTAAAGTTTTTCTTGGCACTTTTTCCAGTCGCTGAATTCTCCTAAGAGAAAGGCCTTCTCACCGTTATGACTGAATGTAATAAGGTCTTGACGCATCGCTCTTTTACAGAAGTAACAGGCAATGGTACCTTTCGTTATGCAATATGTGACCCAAGCATATTTAAAAAATATAGAGGATGGACAAGTTCGTAAATTCGACGATCCTCCTTTTGTGGTTTGCTTTTTAGATGTGCGCTTTATTTCTTCTTGACTAGGACGGTATGGCTTTCTGTCTGCACAGCACAAACGCTGACAGTCCAGTCCTAGCAAACATTCTGTTGATTCAATTGGCAATGGCATAGGTCCTACAAATGGGACGGTACTCGTAGAATTTGGTAAAGACCCTAGGTTGTCAGAAGCTGTGGGAGTAGATAGCTCGGTCGGCTGCGCGACTGGATCTCTGAAGAGGAGGTAGGGCCAGGATCATTGGAATTTGATTCGGAATCAGAATGATGAGATGAACAGGTTGGTGGAGTTTCCGTTGTTGACGGTTGTGTCGAGTTAAACCCAAAGTCGACCTCTTTAGTTGGCGCGCTATTAAAAAAAACTTGTCAGTTTCCGCATCCTTTTAGTTGTTTCTGCAAGCTCTTTTTCTTTTTCTCGTTTTCGCCTAGCAGGTCTAGGCATGATGATTTTGAGTAGACCTCCTGATTGAATATTGTAAATTTTTAATTATTATTATTATGATTTGTCAACGGTCATGCAAGAACGATGGTCTGAGAAACAATACGATGGGACAATGCGCAGCCGTAGAATTTATAGTCTCATGTGGATAATAAATTACGATTTCTAATTAGTTAATTAAGCCGGGCGGACGTCTGCGAAGACAATCCCACTCGACAAATCGCAATTTTTTATCCTTCTGGGCAATCAGGATCAAAAACCAAGCTATAGTCGATTTTGCATAGTGACGATTGACTTTGTTTTACATATTTTTATACGCATAATACGCTTTTCCTATTAGCGTATTATGCGTATACCACTCCAAATGGTTAAAAACGATATATTTACTTCTGCCAGCAGTGCACTTATTAGCTTAAGGGGACATTTACAGCAGCCTGTATGTAAGAAAAACGTCTTTAGTTCAATAGTTCCTGAAACAAGGCTTATAAGGGTACTTCTATTACACGGAAAAAGGGCACATTCATTCTAGAAAAGGGGCACATTTTTCCCAGTTACAAAAAGTGGGGGGGGGGGGGCATTTGCCCCCAATGCCCCCCCGGTTCCGCGGCCTCTGATACCACATGCAATATCACACTGTTTGTAGTTGGCTTACAATAATTTACTTTGATACTAATGTCTTGAGTTAATTGAAGGCTAAAATCAGGAAATTATTTTAATTTGAATGATATATTTTATATATTGGTTCTTATATTTGCTCAATTAGATATTTTATAATAAATAAATAAATAAATTTAATTCGAGGTTCTAATTCAAAATTCAGCTGTGACCCTGCAGAATGCTGTAATAAGGTTGCCTTCTAGTAAAATAGTATAACAATTAAAAACAAGTGCTAAAAGTATATAAAATATCTCGTTTACAGATAATTTTGAACGGAAAAATGCCAATATTGCAGAGAAATCAGACGCACGACCGATTTTATGTACGATTGATTTTATGCATGCATGATTGATTTCTTACATTTTTTTTACAAAAAGTTTAAAAATTATATGCGTGAAAGGCTACTATGCCAAAAAGTCCAAGTTTTAAAGGCCACGCGTTGGACGCAATGTACATCAAATTATTAGCACTTTGATTGTTCATAAAACCTTCTTAATTCCAAGTTTGTTTATACGTCTTTGAATATATAATTTTAAGTCGTGGGTTTTCTCCGGGCGCTCCGGTTTCCTCCCACAGGGAAAGTTGACAGGGTAGGTTAGGACGAACATGGTTAGGAAGGTAATATCACAATCGTTGCAAAAATAAATAGTCTAACCTTAGTAGGTAATATAAGTAAGCGCAATACTTGATGTAATCAGTCACTGAAAAGCCCCAATGGAGAGTGAGCTGAATAATCATAATAATAATTTTGGCTCAACTGCAATTGGCTAACGCTCTGGAATCGAATTTTGTGTGCAAAAGTGCAAATAAGCGGCCGCTCGTGGGGAGGAACGACTCAAAGAACAGCTGCAAGGGAGACTATATATAGACTGTATATCGTTTGTGTTTGAAATTGATAAAACATCTGAAATTGATAAAACATCAATGTTCGATAAGCCAGGAAAAAAGCCACGCTAAGTTACTGTGCAATATGCTCCTGTGTAATAACAGCTAGTTCGTAATAATGCGGTGATTTGCGAAAAAAGATGGCGGTACAAAAACAACTACAAGAATTTTGCGAATAAGAAAAAAGGAAAATATTCGCTTTAAAAAGGAAAACTATATTCAAGAAAAAGTTTTCTAACACCCGGAAAGAGCGACGAAAGAAACAAGAACAGAAATTTCCAAAAATTCGTGGCAAAGAAAAACAAATGAAATTGCAGTCAACAAGCACTTAGTTTACATAAAATATCTTAACACAATCTTTTCTGTCAGCATTATCTGTTTCTAAAAATAAATTTTTAGAGTTTTTAAACTCTAAAATTTTTTTTAGATACAGATAATGATAAACATTAAAATGATAATTATGATAAAATATGATAAACATTAAAATGTTAATGTTAAAACATTTCAAAATTTTAGGAAAACTTATGACACGGATTGTCCTGCTGTGGCTAAATAAACTGTCAAAATATTGCAGCAGCGATGAATATATTTATTTATTGCTGCAGTTAATGGCTATAAGATTACATTATAAAACAATTATGACTGATAGCTCGATGCTACGCACTTCGTCGGTTATATCAGCTCATATATACGACTCGAGCTCATGGTAGCTATAATTGCTAAATTAAATTTAATTGGACAAAATGGAAAATGCAACAGATCGTGCCGTTTCCAACTTTTTGATGAATTTAATGAATTCTTTGCCAGTATTGGTCAAAATACGGTTAAAAAAATTGAAAAAATGGCCGCTGATGAAAATTATGACCTAAATGAAAACCCTTTTAAACCAAGACATTATTTACCGTCAGAACAATTTTCCTTTACCGCTGTTGAACGCGAAGAAGTTGAATCTATTGTTATGTCTATGGCACCAAACAAAGCTCCTGGGAACGATAAAGTTCCGATACATGTAATCAAAACTTGCTTGACTGTAATTTCACCTACCATCACTTCAATTATCAATGCTTCACTGTTAACCTCTAGTTTCCCGAGCGTATGGAAAAACGCTGAAGTTGTTCCTATCCACAAGAGTGGTGATCATGAGATCGCAAATAATAATAGACCTATATCGTTATTGCCAGTGCTATCAAAAATCTGCGAACGAGCAGCTTATAATCAGTTTTCGACCTACCTTCTCTCGAATGATCGTTTATCGTCTAAACAAAGTGGAAACAAGCATCTACACTCAACAGAAACCTCGGTAATTCAGACTACAGACATGATCTTGAATGCCATTGACAAGAAACAGCTAACTGCGATTGTGTTACTCGACATGAGCAAAGCATTTGATAGCATAGATACCACGACTCTGATTACCAAGTTAGAAGATGTTGGCGCGTCTTGTCAGGCGATACAATGGTTCCAAAGCTACCTAACATCCAGGTATCAAGTAGTAAGAATACAAACAACCTTATCCGAGCCTCTAGAGGTAAAGAGTGGAGTACCTCAGGGAAGTATACTTGGGCCACTTCTGTTTAGTATTTATGTGAACGATTTGCCATCAGTTCCACAACAATGCTCTCCCTATTCCTATGTCGATGACACAAAACTTTTAATGTCGTTTTCTCTGCAACACCAACAAAGAGCTGTCTCAGAAATAAATCAAGATCTCTTGAGAATACGTAATTGGTGTTTTGATAACAAGTTACTGTTAAACCCAGAAAAAACTAAGGCCATGATATGCGGTAGTAGACAGATGAGAGCAAAACTTCCTAATTTTCGCCTCTCACTTCTCGGTAAAGAAATCATTCCTGTAACAAGCGCCAAAGATCTCGGCGTAATCTTGGACTCTGGTATGACGTTCGACAGCCATGTACAAGCCACTATCTCCTCATGTATGTCTCGTTTAGGTCAAATAAACCGTGTGAAACATTGCTTTGACAAACACACATTAACAATTATTATTAACTCTCTAGTTTTTTCAAAATTATATTATTGCTCTACAGTCTGGAGCAACACTTCTCAAACAAATTTAAATAAGGTACAGGTAGTGCAGAACTTTGCATGTCGAATAGTTAGCGGAGTTGGCAAATACGATCATGTCACACCAATCCTGCAAGAACTAAAGTGGCTTCCTGTTCGACAGTATTTATATTTTCGTGATGCAGTCATGGCATTTAAATGCATGACAGGAAACGCACCTGCATACCTAACTGACCAGTTTGTGAGACGAGGTGACATTTCATCTCGCGTTACTAGGAACTCGAGCATGATTGAAACTCCTTTACACAGAACAGCAACTGGGCAACGATCCTTCAAATTCAGAATGGCCACAATTTGGAATTCCTTAAACCCAGAACTTAGGGCCTGCGAAACAACGAAAGACTTCAAACATATTTTAAAACAGAGACTTGTAGAAACATTTAAATTGAGGACCAATCTTAAGACATTTTGATGTAAATAGCATATATATTTGTGTAGTAATACCAAGTGTGTGTGTGTGTGTGTGTGTGTTGTGTGACTGTGTGTTGTTATGTGTGTGTCTCTATTATTATGGTGTATAAAAATTTAGATCAATTATGTAAAATTTCGCTGAAAAGCCTTTTAAGGGATGTGAAATTAAAATACAATAACAATAGACCTGTTGTAATTGAAATAAAAGATTCGCCGGTAAAGAAAAGGTATTACCAATTCTTGCAATTCCATTTGAGCTTCTATACAGTCGTTAGTAACTTTGCAGGGAATGCATCCTCTGCCTTACTTTTATATTTCATATCTTACTTTTTATATTTTAATGTGTAACTTATTGTAATGTGTAACTGGTTGGAATACTATGAAGTTTCAAATTGATTCCTCTGTCAATGTTAAAATGCACATCACTACATGATGTTGGTTTTGTCATATAAATGAAGGGTTTATGGTTGTTAATTTTGTGTATGCTGCTGATATTGCGAGTATATAATTATATTATCTACATCAGGATTATCTTCAGTGCACCTAACACCAAGTCTGATAACGTTGATGATGAAACAGAAAGTCAAATGTACTCCATCTTATCTGAGCGAGTGAAAAAGGATTTCATTTTGCGTGTTTTTCGAACATAACTATTTTTGTTGATTATTCATTGTTTTGTCATTAATTTTCCCCTTTTAGCTTTGAGGAAAGTAACGATGATACAAGTAATGACGAGGGTGATGAATTTGGTAGACAACAGTCAAACAGTTCATCAGTGGGGTATAGTAAACTAAGAAAACGTTTTCGATTTCATTGTAATTTTTGATTTACTAACATATGTTCACTTGGAATAACATTGTTTGAGAATGCTCTCATTTCAAGCATATGGTATTGAAATACAAGTTAGTAAAGTTTCTACTTCAGTGTCATGTACATAGAAACTCATGCAACTGGCTACATGAACCTTGTCGCACAAGTATTTGACAACTTATTACAGATACATGTAATCATAAGAAAGCATGATGCCTAGTTGTGCAGAACATGCCATCTTTCAGCTTGTCATGTGATGAAAATAAAAATAAAATTAATTAATCTATTTTAATTAATTAATTAATTAATTAATTTGATTAATTAATTTTTAATTAATTAATTTTTTTTAATTAATGTAGTATTAGAAATGTGTATTTTGAGAAGGCCAGGGGCATATAGTGGTTGCATTTTTCACCTACTGTGCTATCAATTATAGTATTATATTTAGGTATTGCGAGTTTCATAATCAACCAAGTTTAATCCATTGTCTTTGTGGGTAAATTATTAGAAAAAGAATCAGTAACCCCCCCCCCTAATTGGAAAGCCCTTGGTACATTTCCTGGAGAAGGCCCTCTTCGAAATAAAAAATAGCGCATTTTCTTATCTTTTCAAAACAAATTTTATTTCTTGACAGTAGTACAAGTGCAAGGCTGAACATGGGAATTTTTAATGAAATCGAATGTAAACATGTTAAAGAACTGCCATTCGATATTGACAGCTTCTATCATTTTCAACTTGAATGTGATCCATCGAATATTATGAAATCTAGTAAAGATGGTCAACGTTGGAAAACGTGGTGTACATCTAAAAGAAAAGAACATCGTGGAGTGAGGAGAAGAGCAAGGTGTGGGGGATCATGGAAATGTCCCAACGAAGATTGTTTGTTTCTAAGGAAAGAAGGTTCACCCAACGAGGTCCAGTTTACGAACAATGAAAGCGGGGAAAAAAGTGTTTTATCTGCGAAGAAGAGGCTATTTTTGTGGAGTGCAAAGCTATAAAAGTTTGGGAGTTTCGTTCAGACAAGAATCTCGTTGACATTTACCATAGTGGAATGCATACTTGCCATACGATTCCAAATCGGCGAAATGTACATGTAGAGCAAAAGCTAAAAGTTGATTTCACGAAGCATTCTTCATTGAAACCCTCAGAAGTTCATTGAAACCCTCGGAAGCTGTTGCTAACACACCGGTATGTGCATTAAAGGAAGGCAATACATGGGAAGAAATTGATGTGTTGGCCGAAAGTCTGGCGGACTCCCGTCGCGTACAAGACACAAAAGCGAAAGCAACAAAATCGTTAGAGAGTCACAGGCACTCTTTCGATGCGCTTTGTGAATTCAAGAAGTTCTGTGACGAGAGAGATCCTTATTGTTCCAAATGTGTTCCAAATTTTAAGCAAACCTTGCAATGAGTATGGATTGTGAAAAGATTGGCCTTTTGCATGACCAGTATTGCTATGCTGATGCCACACACAAACGTTGTCCCGGGTTTAAGACCACAACCCTCTGGGTATATCACCCTTTAATTGGTAAAGCTCGCTACAATGGAAAGTACAACTGAAGATACTGAAGCCATGGTACAGCTTTGGTCTCTATTTAACGAGGTACAGTATAAGATCCTTATGTCATTGACAACTAGGTCCAGGCTATTACATTTCACTTATTTATTTCAGGTGTTACAGGATGTATCTGGTGACAAGACGTATGTTTTTAATCCTGCTGGATGGGTCTTAGATGGAGCTGAGTGGAATGCTATCAGAATTGTATTTGGAGAGGATGCAATGGCTAAAGTTGTATCGTACGAATTTCATTAGAAACAATGGAAGTTGGATGATAAGTACAAGGCAGATTGGCCTTTATTTATTTAAACTGTCCACTCGATGAGGATCATTAATGTCTCAATCATTTCCATGGGTGCCTTTCCCC